GAAAGAAAGAAAGAAAGAAAGAAAGAAAGAAAGAAAGAAAGAAAGAAAGAAAGAATAGTGTTGGTACAGTCATCAAATCCAACAGTAGGAGGTGTCTCATGGCTATTTTAGAATCATCCAGAGCCACCAAGCATTGAGCTTTTCTCTGTCCAAAATTGGGGTGGGGAGAGGGGGCTGAAGGGGAGCTCCCCATACTCTGATCTTCTCCCCACACTTGGCTCTCCAGATCCTTCCCCCACCCAATGGGGACCTCTTCTCTGCCCCTCTTCCACCTTCTGCTTGGCCTTGCGCTGGTGGCATCACGAGGACCTGCTGGGACCATCTCATTTGTGGTGCTTTCTTTTCAGAGAAGGAGAGGATGGGACACAACACCTCCTTGGTCTTCTGCCTCTGTGGTCTCATCCAGTCCTTGACTGAATGCCCCCAAGCCCTTTAAAGGCCAGGTGGGAAGAATCCCCAGCAGTGGGGCTCTTCTCCCCCCTCCCCATGGGGAAGCAATACAGGCCACTGGCAGAGGTAGAGCTGAGGGCTGGGTTCCCACTTGGGCTACACCATCTGGGCTGCCAAGGCCATAGACTCTTGGATGGAGCTGCGGGCTAGAGGCATGGCAGGCTCTCGGGTGTCATCCAGAGGTCATTTGGATCTCTGCAGCCCTGACACAGCAGCCTTGCATAGCCCCAGCCCCCAGGCTCCGACTCCCCATGACAGTTCTAGCAGCTGCTGCATTGATGCCCAGAGTGGGGCTTGCAAGCGTCCATCAGCTTTGGGGGGGAGGAAAGGGGTGTTGGGGCCCAGCAGATTCCAAACTTAATTCCAGCTCTCCAGTTGAAATGAAATGGATTTGCCGTAAAGCATCGTAGCCTCAATGGGTGGTCCTTCTGAATAAGCCCCCACCCCTTAACACCAAGCCTTGCCAGGTGGAAGACTCAGGGGTCTTGAGCTTCAGACCACCACAGGCTCCTGGCTCTGCAAAATAAATCAGGCTACTCATGCCAAAACAGAATTTATTTGACATTCTGGCCCATCCGAATCAGCCAAATCTCACCCAAGCTATCGAAAGCGTTCCTTGAGCATGGGGTGTAGAGCAGAGATTTTGGCAGGCAGGGGGGCTTCCTTGTTTCCCCTAGCCTCCCCAGTGCTTCCCTCACTCTGGGGCTGGAGTGGGTACTTGCAAAGGAAGGCACGCAGGGAATTGCAGCTCTCATCGTTCCAGTAGATGTACCCTGGGCAGCAAAAGAGAAGGTTGGATCCCCTTTCGCAGTGGCTCCATCAGAGTCCCAGAGAGGCATTTCTCTGGCTCCAGCCTTGTTGGCGGGAGGACATGAGGATACCAGGCCATGGCAACCACAGCGGGAGAATCTAATTGGCTAGAACGGGCTTGGCCTTCAGCAGGTTGTTGCCACGCAGAGAACTAGCTAGCAGTCAAGTGAGGCCACGGCTACCAGACCTTGCCTGTCAAGCTCTGCTCAGCCACGGGAGGGCAGCAAAGAACTGTGCAAAACGCTTCTGCAAAACCAGAGCAGGGTTGGACAGATGGCCAATGTCCTTGGTCTAACCATCTGTCAAAACCCTCCTCCTCCTCATCTCCTGATCTGGCAGGAATGAGGACAGGCTTTGGATTGCCTCAACGAGGGCTGGGTGGTGCTCAAAGTGGGGGATTCTCCACTTGGACGAGGTTGGGGGGCTCTTGAGGTCAGGAGGAGGCCTCTCTTCCTCAGGACCCCCCGCTTTCCCAGAGGTCAGACCGGCTTTCAGGAAAATGTTAAAAACTGAATTCTTTTGCAGGACTGGTTCTCAAGTTTATATCTGAGGCCATCTTTTCCCCTTCTCTGTTACTTTTCATTTCTGACTTTGATTCTTAGAGTTATCTTTTGTTTATTTTGTTTTTGAGAGTTTTCGTCTGGGTTTCTTACGCTGTTCTTGTGATTGTGATGGGTTTTTAATAAATCGGCCACCTGGCTGCGATGGGGTAGAAGTTTGATAACAAGCAACAAAAAGCCTAACGTCCTGTGACATCGACAGCCTTTTGGAAGCAGGTTAAGGTGGAGCTTGTTTCTTTCACTGTGAGATGATCCTCCTGTAATGATTATACAGTCCCAGGTTTTGTAGGAATGATGGCTCTCATTTTTCATTTCAATCAGACATTGATAATGCTGAGATGCTGGGAGACATACTGGGCCAACTGAAGCATCTCTGCCGCAACATGGATGGAGGCCAGGTGGCAGCCCGTCTCCTGGTCCACGCAGAACATCTGGGAGAGAGTGACAACAGAGAAAGGCACTTGTTCAGTGGAGAAGGAACATGTGTGTGTGTTTGTGCATGTGAGAAAAGAACAGGCGCCTGATCACATGATCATGGCCACCATCTTGACCTTGTTGACACCCCACAGACGCCTTTGCTGGAGAATGCGGCTCTAGAGAAATTCCTGACTTCAATTCGCGAGTTAAAATTTCTGACCCCCATAACTAAGACGCCAGAATGAACTCAGGATCAGCCTTTTGGGTAGTGGAGCCTACGTGCCCTGCTATCACCTGCTTATGGTCTGTGGAGTCCCACTGGCTCAACAACCCAATGCCCAGATGCATCCCTTTGCCTCCCACACAGAGTTGCCAAGTGTTAGTGACGTTTAGCACATGGCCAAATGCATTTCAGCCTGGAACTTTTGGGGAGTTGTCCAACCCCCCTACCGCCCTGCTTTTCAGTGCACCTTGCACCTCTAAAATCGCTCTCTGCCCTGTTTATTCCTCCCATTTTCAGCTGCAGAAGGTTCCTCGCTTGCATCTCACTGCGACCCAAACATGCCCTGCACCCCCTTTCTGCAGCCATATCCTAACAATCTTGCTTTCCTCGGATCTCCAGCCCCTTCTGGAGGCGGCTCTAATAGGCCGCTCAGCTGCTTAATCCTTCAGGGTCAGAGCAGCCTTGTCCCCCCAACTTACTGCCATGGATATATCTGAAGTGCTTCATCTGTTGGCAGTAAGATCACCGGGCATTTGCAGAGTGTGGCCAAAACAGGCAAGATGGTAGCCAGAACAGTGAGAACTAAGCTGTCTTCCTGCACCTGCCAGATGTCCCAGCTTGGACATCTATGTGGAAAGAGAAATCTGCCCACATTGTTGGTGACACAGGATGAAAACAACACTGTAGGAGCAGCCTCCTGCTTCTCACCTTTTAGTTGAGCTGGGAGGGTGCATCACTGTGCAGCGAGAGTTTCCCTCCTAATACTCCATGCACTCTTGTGCATCTCTCAGCTGTTAAAATGTTTTAATTTTATTTAATATTTTAATTTTAATATAAAATATTATTCAATATTTTAAAACATGGGTTTAGTGCTCTTCTAACATAGTGCTCAGATCATGTTTAGACCAGGGAGAAATTGCATAACACAATGAAGAGCTCCATTCACCACCCTCCACTGTGCCTCTCACCTGTTTTACAGATTGACAGAACTCAAGAGGGGATTAGACATCTGTCAAGACTGAGACCTGAAATGAGTCTTGACAGATGTCTAATCCCCTCCTCTTGAGTTCTGTCAATACCTGCTTCCTCCCCAACCCTCAACCACCTCAAGGAGCAGAATTGGTAGATGTTTCTCAGGGAGATGCATGGCAGGAGTGGAAGGGAACAAGCCAGGAAAGGTGCAAATCCCTGTTCTTAAATCATGCGGCATCAATGAGGCTGGTACCATTTGCCCATATTGCGATGCCCTGAGGCAGGATAAGGATGGGCAGCCAGTGGAAGCCAATCTTATGTGGTCCAGTTTCCTGCTGGTTCAGGGAGTGGAGGAGAGCACTTTAAGTGAGCTGTGAGGAAGACTCCGTGGAACACTTGCATTGAGGCTATCCCAAAATCACGGTCTCTTCTCATGCACCCAGCCTGGTGGCCTCCGGGTCCCCCTTTACAGGTCTTCAGCCCAGCCAGAGGTGACATGGGTGCTGGGCAAGGGCTCTGCCTAGATCTTCCTCTGCCCGGGCTGGGATGTTCATGGGTACACAGGACTCCTCACCTCTGCATCATTCCAGGTCTTGAATTTCTTGAAGATCTTGTTGGAAGAATCGTTGTAGGTGAGCCAACTGAAGGGACAATAGTTTGGGGCTCCAGTTCCTGTGTGGGAAGAGAGAAAGCCCAATAAGGGGGTGACGAGGAGGGAGCTGGGTCTGCAGTACATGCCTCACCTGCTGAGTTGCAAACTTCTTTGACCGCAATAAATTGAGGCTGGCTTGGGTTACAGACACAGAGGCTGCATCTGCAGAATGTCCAAAGCTTGGTTGGGTTAGCCTTGGTTAACTTTCTTGAAGCTGCACATCCTGTGCAAACGAGCCTGGCCGTTTTGGTTGGTTCATCATTCAGTGAACCGTGCAAAGCCAGAAAACGGGTTCCTTCAAGAACCAGGTTAAGCCTCTTTAACCTTTGCATGGTTTCCTATGTGGGAAAGGGGCTTCACTTGTGTGGATCCCATGGACAGCAATCCCTAGCAAGGGAGGGTACTCACTCTACCCTTAATGATAAAAGCAGGTTTCTTTCACCAAGCTTTTAACTGTTTAGCTGCGTTCATGTTCAACCTGAATCTGAATTTTGACTGTATTTTCTTTTTTCTTTTCTATTGTGCGAACAGCGCTGGACCTTGGAGTAGGCGGATTTTCTTAGATTTAGTTTTTTTTAATTCCACCTCTATTATTTCTGGAAATAACTGAAGGTGGCGAATATACCTAACACTCCTTCCTCTTCTTATGTTCCCCACCACAACAACCCTGTGAGATGGGTTGTTGTTGTTGAGACCAAGGCAGGATCTAAACTCTACAATCAGCCAAACCCGAATAAAAGCAAATTCAGCCATGGGACGCAGGGGGGCCAAACCAGGAAGGGGTTCAGATGCAAGAGCCTTGGCCTTGAGGGCACGGGAGACCCATCGAACCCACCACTTAGGGAGAGAGCCATGAGCAGCACGCCCAGGGGCACGAAGGTGAAACGCCCCATGGTCTTCCTTCCATTCCTGCGGAGAGGAGCAAAGAGCAGAGAAGTGGAAGGGGAGCGAGGGAAGGGCCCTAGTAACAGAAGATCCCACACAGCGTTCAGCTAGTTTTAGTGGTTTGGCAGAGTAGAAGCGTTCAAACTTGCACAAAGGCTGAACTACGTTCAGATCAAAATAAACACTCTCCCCACATTAGTAAAGGAGAAATAAAAGATAGCTCAGAGTTTATTCTCAGATCTTCATACAAAGCAGTTTCATAGCAGAAACGGTCCTGTGTGCATGAGTAATAT